GGGGCATTTTGGGGTGATTTTGGGGGTATTTTGGGGTGGTTTTGGGGGTATTTTGGGGTGATTTTAGGGTATTTTGGGGTGATTTTAGGGTATTTTGGGGTGACTCACCCTAAACACAACCCCCACGCTGCCGTGGCCAATTTGGGGGTGGTTTGAGGTGATTTTGGGGTATTTTTGGGGTATTTTGGGGTGATTTTGGGGTATTTTGGGGGTATTTTAGTGTATTTTTGGGGTGACTCACCCTGAACACGACCCCCACGCTGCCGTGGCCGATTTGGGGGGTGGTTTTGGGGTATTTTGAAGTGATTTTGGGGGTATTTTGGGGTGATTTTAGGGTATTTTGGGGTGATTTGGGGGTATTTTAGTGTATTTTTGGGTCACTCACCCTAAACACGACCCCCACGCTGCTGTGGCCCATTTGGGGGTGGTTTTGGGGCATTTTGGGGTATTTTAGGGGTGATTTTGGGGTATTTTGGGGTGATTTTGGGGTATTTTGGGGTGATTTTAGGGTATTTTGGGGTGACTCACCCTAAACACGACCCCCACACTGCCGTGGCCGATCTCCCTCAGGTCCCCAAAGAGCTTTTCGGGGTCTTCCTTCAGGAACAGCTCGGCCACTTCGGGGTCCCGGAGGCTCCCGGGCCGGGGGGAGGGGCGGGGGGCCGGCATTGGGGGAGGGGCTGACACAGAGACCCCCAAAGTGACCCCCAGACCCAAAAAGAGACCCTCAGAGCCCCCAGACTCCAAAAGAGACCCAGGGTGACCCCAAAAGTGACCCCAAAAGAGACCTCTCAGGGACAACCCCAGACCCCAAAAGAGACCCCCAAAGTGACCTCCCAGACCCAAAAAGAGACCCCTCAGGACCCCCCCAGATCCCTCAGGGACCCCAAAAGTGACCCCACAAGAGACCCCACCAAAGGAAACCTCAGGACCCCCAGACCCCAAAAGAGACCCCAAAAGTGACCCCCAGAGCCCCAAAAAGAAACCCCTCAGGGACCTCCCAGACCCCAAAAAAGAGACCCCAAAAGTGACCCCGAAAAGAGACCCCAAAGAAGCCCTCAGGACCCCCAGACCCCAAAAAGAGACCCCAAAGTGACCCCACCCAGACCCCAAAAGAGACCCCAAAAGAAGCCCCTCAGGGACCCCCCCAGACCCCAAAAGAGACCCCAAAAGTGACCAAGGACCTCAGAAGTGACCTCCAAGAGACCCCAAAAGAGACCCCTCAGGGACCCCCCCAGACCCAAAAAGAGACCCCAAAAGTGACCCCCAGACCCACAAAGTAGACCCCTCAAAAGTGACTCCCCCAGACCCTGGGCACCCCAAAAGGGACCCCAAAAGTGACCCCCAAAAGAGACCCCAAAAGGGACCTCCAGACCCCTCAAGTGACCTCTCAGGACCCCCAGACCCCAAAAGAGACCCCAAAAGTGACCCCCAGACCCACAACTGACCCCTCAATGACCCCCCCAGACCCAAGAAGGGACCCCCAACTCAGACCCACAACTGACCCCCAAAGTGACCCCCAGACACCCCCCCGAGCCCAAAGTGACGGCAGAGCCCAAAAGTGACCCCACAAGGACCCCTCAAACCCCCAAACAAAACCCCAGCCCCACAACTGACCCCTCAGGGACCCTCACCTCAAAGGGATCCCCCCAGCCCCACGAGTGACCCTCCCCCGTTCATTCTCTGCCCTTCAAGTGCCTCCCTCGAGGCCTTTCCTTGCCCCCCAACTCCCTCAGACCCCCTCGCCCCCAAAATCCCTCACGACGCCCCCACCTCCCTGTTCCCCTCACCGGTTCCTCCAGCTCCGATCCCGGCGGGCTCCGGAGGCTCTCGGGCCGCCCCCCCCCGGCGGCCGCAGCTCCGGGGGGGGGCTCCGGCCTCCCCAACCTTTCCCTGTGGGGGCGGCCCGAGAGGCCCCAAAATTGGGGGATTTCACCCCAAAACTCCACCAAGATGGCGCCGGCGGGCGGGGCGGAAGCGGGGGGTCCTGCGCATGCGCGGCTGAGCCGAGTGAGGGCGCGGGGAGGGCGGGCTTGCCAGGAGTGGGGCGTGGCTTAAGGAGGGGGGGAGCTCAGCCAATCAGCGCGCGAGGCGGGAAAAAGGGAGAGGTGCTGATTGGCGGGAAAAGGAGGAGGGCGGGGCTAAGAGGGGAGGGGAGGGCGATGATTGGACGGGAGGGGAGGAGCGGGAATGGCGGGAAGCTGTGAGGGAGGGCAAGATGGAGGCGGCGCCGTCGGAGGGTTTTTTGGTCTTTTTTTTATTTTTTGGGGTGTTTTTGGGGGTTCTCGCGGAGGGTGGAGGTGCCGCTTTGACGTCACTGCCTCTCATGACGTCACGGCCTTTTCCCACCGAGCCCGGGCATGGGTATGCCATATAAGGATATGGGGGCGGGGCCACGACGGGGCGTGGAAATGACCCAAAATGACCCAAAAATGAGTGGTGAAAATGACCCAAAATGGGGGGGAAATGACCTAAAAATGGGTGGGAAATGACCCAAAATGGGGGGGAAAATGACCCAAAAATGGGTGGGAAAATGACCCAAAAATGGGTGGGAAAATGACCCAAAAATGGGTGGTGAAAATGACCTAAAATGGGGGAGAAAATGACCCAAAAATGGGTGGGAAAATGACCCAAAAATGGGTGGTGAAAATGACCTAAAATGGGGGAGAAAATGACCCAAAATGGGGGGGGAAATGACCCAAAATGGGTGGGAAAAATGACCCAAAATGGGAGTGAAAATGACCCAAAAATGGGGGGGGAAATGACCCAAAAATGGGAGTGAAAATGACCCAAAAAATGTGACAAAAATGACCCCAAACTGGGAGGAACTGGCCCCAAACTGGAAGGAACTGGTCCCAAACTGGTGCTGGTGCTGCAGGTGCTTTTATTGAGCTGTAGAGCGTGTAAGCTGCTCCGAGACTCCCTAAAAACTCCCTAAAACCCCTCAAACCTCCCAAAACCCAAATCCTCTCAGACCTCCCAAAACCCCAAACCCCTCCCCAAAATCTCTGGGGTCCATGGGGGTTCTGGTGATCCGTGGGATGATGGGGGTTTTTGGGGTCCCGGGGATTTTTGGGGTCCCAGGGGGATTTGGAGGTCTCCCTCACCCAAAGAGCCTCCTGAAGCAGGGGGCAGAAGGCCTTGGGTGGGGGTCCCTGGGGGTTTGGTGGTCCCTGGGGGTTTGGGTGCTCCATGTGATCCGTGGTGGTCTCTGGTGGTCTCTGCTGATCCGGGGGTTTGGGGTCCCGGGGTTTTTGGGGTCCAGGGGATTTGGGGTCTCCTCACCCAAAGAGCCTCCTGAAGCAGGGGGCAGAAGGCCTTGGGTGGGGGTCCATGGGGTCTCTGGTGGTCCTGGGGTTTTGGGGTCTCCCTCACCCAAAGAGCCTCCTGAAGCAGGGGGGCAGAAGGCCTTGGGTGGGGGTCCCTGGTGGTCCCTGGGGTTTGGGTGCTCCATGTGATCCGTGGTGGTCTCTGGTGATCCAGGGGTTTTTGGGGTCCCAGGGGGATTTTGGGGGTCCCGGGGTTTTGGGTCTCCTCACCCAAAGAGCCTCCTGAAGCAGGGGGGCAGAAGGCCTGGGTGGGGGGTCCATGGGGGTCCCTGGGGGTTTGGTGATTCATGGTGGTCTCTGATGGTCTCTGGTGATCCGTGGGATGATGGGGGTTTTTGGGGTCCCGGGGGTTTTTGGGGTTTTTGGGTCCCTCACCCAAAGAGCCTCCTGAAGCAGGGTGGGCAGAAGGCCTTGGGTGGGGGGTCCATGGGGGTCTCTGGTGGTCCCTGGGGGTTTTAGGGGTCCCAGGGGGTTTGGGTGGTCCATGTGATCCGTGGTGGTCTCTGCTGATCTGTGGGATAATGGGGGGTTTTGGGGGTTTTGGGGGTCCCAGGGGGTTTTGGGGTCCTCACCCAAAGAGCCTCCTGAAGCAGGGGGGGCAGAAGGCCTTGGGTGGGGGGTCCCTGGGGGGGTTTGGTGATCTGTGGTGGTCTCTGGTGCTCTCTGATGGTCTCTGGTGATCCGTGGGATAATGGGGGGTTTGGGGGTCCCGGGGGTTTTGGGGGTCCCGGGGGTTTTGGGGGTTTTGGGGTCCTCACCCAAAGAGCCTCCTGAAGCAGGGAGGGCAGAAGGCCTTGGGTGGGGGTCCATGGTGGGGCTTGGTGATCTCTGGTGGTCCCTGGGGGTTGGTGATCTCTGGTGGTCTCTGGTGATCCGTGGGATGATGGGGGTTTCTGGGGGTTTTTGGGGGTTTTGGGGGTCCTCACCCAAAGAGCCTCCTGAAGCAGGGGGCAGAAGGCCTTGCCCCCTGCTCCTGGAAGGAGCCCCCGTGCCGAGGGCTCTTCGGCAGAAGCTGCACTCGAAGTGCTCGGGTGGGGGTCCATGGGGGTTTTGGGGTCCCGGGGGTTTTTGGGGGTTTTGGGGGTCCTCACCCGAAGAGCCTCCTGAAGCAGGGTGGGCAGAAGGCCTTGCCCCCTGCTCCTGGAAGGAGCCTCCGTGCCGAGGGGCGGCGGCAGAAGCTGCACTCGAAGCGCTCGGGTGGGGGTTTTGGGGGTCCCAGGGGGTTTTGGGGGTCCTCACCCAAAGAGCCTCCTGAAGCAGGGGGCAGAAGGCCTTGCCCCCTGCTCCTGGAAGGAGCCCCCGTGCCGAGGGCTCTTCGGCAGAAGCTGCACTCGAAGTGCTCGGGGTGGGGGTCCTTGGGGGTTTTTGGGGTCCCAGGGGCAGTTTTTGGGGGTCCTCACCCAAAGAGCCTCCTGAAGCAGGGTGGGCAGAAGGCCTTGCCCCCTGCTCCTGGAAGGAGCCCCCCGTGCCGAGGGCTCTTCGGCAGAAGCTGCACTCGAAGTGCTCGGTGGGAAGCGGCGCCCGAGGGCGCGGAGGCTCCGACCCCGCACGGGGCCCCGCAGCCCCGCAGGGGGCTCAGAGACTCCCGGAGACCCCCGAGGAGCCCCCACCAGAGGAGCCTCCCAGAGCCCCCGAGCGGGCCTGGAAGTGGAGCTGGCAAGGGACGCCCCAGCTCGAAGAAGGAGCCCCCGGGAAGGGGGCCAGGCAGTCCTGGAGGGGAAAGAGAGAGATTTGGGGTCAGAATTTGGGGTACAGGGGGTCAGGGGGTCAGAATTTGGGGTACAGGGACAGAATTTGGGGTACAGGGTCAGGGGGTCAGGGGGTCATGGGGGTCAGGAGCCCCCAGATGGAAAAGGAGCCCCGGGAAGGGGGCCAGGCAGTCCTGGAGGGGGGAAAGAGAGAAATTTGAGGTCAGAATTTGGGGTACAGGGGGTCAGGGGGTGCAGGGACGTGGGGGTCAGGGGGTCATGGGGGTCAGAATTTGGGGTACAGGGTCAGGGGGACATGGGGGGTCAGGGGGTCAGGGGGACACAGGAGCCCCCCGGGAAGGGGGCCAGGCAGTCCTGGAGGGGGGGAAAAGAGAGAAATTTGGGGTCAGAATTTGGGGTACAGGGACAGAATTTGGGGTACAGGGGGTCAGGGGTCAGAATTTGGGGTCCAGGGTCAGGGTCATGGGGGTCGGGGGGTCAGGGATGCCCCCAAGGTGGAAGAAGGAGCCCCCGGGAAGGGGTCAGGCAGTCCTGGAGGGGGAAAAGAGAGAAATTTGGGGTCAGAATTTGGGGTACAGGGACAGAATTTGGGGTTCAGGGGGTCAGGGGGTCACAAATTGGGGTACAGGGTCAGGGGGTCATGGGGGATCAGGGGGTCAGGGGGACTAGGGGACCCCCCAGGAAGGGAGCCAGGCAGTCCTGGAGGGGGGAAGAGAGAAATTTGGGGTCAGAATTTGGGGTACAGGGACAGAATTTGGGGTACAGGGACAGAATTTGGGGTACAGGGGGGTCAGGGGGTCAGAATTTGGGGTACAGGGTCAGGGGGTCATGGGGGGTCAGAATTTGGGGTACAGGGGGTCAGGGGGTGCAGGGACGTGGGGGTCAGGCGGGACACGGGGTGATTCTGGGGTAATTTTGGGGGTATTTTTGGGGTATTTATGAGGTGATTTTGGGGTATTTTTGAGGTGATTTTGGGGTATTTTTGGGTTGGTTTTGGGGGTGATTTTGGGGTGGGTTTTGTGGGTGGTTTTGGGGTGTTTTGGGGGTAATTTTGGGGGTGATTTTGAGAGTATTTTTGGGGTGATTTTGGGGGTAATTTGGGGGTATTTTTGGGGTGATTTTGGGGTGGTTTTGGGGGTGGTTTTGGAGGTATTTTTGGGGTATTTTTTGGGTGTTATATTGGGGAAATTTTGGGGGTGATTTTGTGGGTATTTTTGGGTTGATTTTGGGGGTATTTTTTGAGTGTTTTTGGGGCAATTTTGGGGGTGATTTTGAGAGTATTTTTAGGGTAATTTGGGGGGTGTTTGGGGTATTTTTGGGGTATTTTTGGGGTAATTTTGGGGGTGTTTTGGGGGTATTTTTTTGGTGATTTGGGGGTGATTTTGGAGGTATTTTTGGGGTGATTTTGGGGTGTTTTTGGGGTGATTTGGTGACATTTTTGGGGGGGGTCTCACCTGGCAGACGAAGCACTCGGGGTGCCAGAGCCCCCCCAGGGCAGGGGGGGGGACATTGGGGTCACTTTGGGGACATTGGGGGTGACACAGGTGAGCATTTTGGCAGAAGCACTCGTCAGCCCCAGGGCAGGGGACATTGAGGTCACTGGGGACATTGGGGTGACACAGGTGACATTTTGGGGTCTCACCTGGCGAAGCACTCGGTGCGAGCCCCAGGCACGAGGGGACATTGGGGTGACACAGGTGACATTTTTGGGGGGGTCTCACCTGGCAGACGAAGAACTCGGGGTGCCAGAGCCCCCCCAGGGCAGGGGGGGGGACATTGGGGTCACTTTGGGGTGTTTTTGGGGTGATTTGGTGACATTTTTGGGGGGGGTCTCACCTGGCAGACGAAGCACTCGGGGTGCCAGAGCCCCCCCAGGGCGGTGACGAAGCCCCCCAGGACGGGGCGGGGGCAGCCCCGGCAGCGACCCCCGAAGAGCTCCCCGAAATCCCGGCGGCAAAACGGGAGCCCCCCCCGCTCCACGAACCCTGGGGGGACACAGGGGACATTTGGGGACAGCAGGGGACACTTGGGGACACTTGGGGACATCAGAGGGGTTGGGGACATTTGGGGACATTTGGGGATTTGGGGGGATTTGGGACATTGGGGACACTTGGGGACATCAGGGGGATTGAGGGACATTTGGGGGGATTTGGGATATTGGGGACATTTTGGGATATGGGGATTGGGAGATTTGGGGACATTGGGGATTGGGGACACTTGGGGACAGCAGGGGTCAGGGGATTGGGAGGATTTGGGATATTGGGGAATTTGGGGACACTGGGATTTGGGGGATTTGGGACATTGGGGATTTGGGACATTTGGGATATTGGGGGATTTGGGGACATTGAGGGGGTTTGGGGGATATTGGGGATATTAGGGACATTGGGGATTTGGGACATTGGGGGTTTGGGGGATTTGGGACATTGGGGACATTGGGGAATTTGGGGACATTTGGGGATTTGGGGACATTGAGGGGTTTGGGGACATTGGGGTATTGGGGGATTTGGGGACATTGGGGGATTTGGGGACATTGGGATTTGGGGACATTGGGGAGATTTGGGGGACATTTGGGGACATTTGGGGACATTGGGGGATTTGGGATGTGGGGGACATTGGGGACATTGGGGGATATTTGGGGATTTGGGATTTGGGGACATTGGGGGACATTGGGGGGTGTTGGGGATTTGGGGACATTGGGGGGATTTAGGGGACAATTGGGGGATATTGGGGATATTGGGGAGATTTGGGGACATTGGGGGATTTTAGATATTGGGGGCATTGGGGATATTGGGGACATTTGGGGACATTGGGGGGCTTGGGGGATTTGGGGACATTGGGGACATTGGGGGGATTTGGGGACATTGGGGATTTGGGGACATTGGGGATTTGGGGATTGGGGACATTGGGGACATTGGGGATTTGGGGACATTGGGGGATTGGGGACATTGGGGATTGGGGATTAGGGGACATTGGGGATTTGGGGATGTTGGGGACATTGGGGACATTGGGAGATTTGGGGACATTTGGGGACATTTAGGGACATTTGGGGGATTTGGGATATTGGGGACATTGGGGACATGTGGGGTTATTGGGGATTGGGGATATTGGGGACATTGGGGACTTGGGGATTTCTGGGGGGATTTGGGGACATTGGGGGATTGGGGATACTGGGAGATTGGGGACATTGGGAGATTGGGGACATTTGGGGACATTGGGGGATTTGGGGATATTGGGGGCATTGGGAGGGATTGGGGGATTTTGGGGATTTGGGGATTTGGGACATTGGGGGATTTGGGGACATTGGGGGGATTTGGGGACATTGGGGACATTGGGGGATTTGGGGGACATTGGGAGATTGGGGGATTGGGGACATTGGGGGATTTGGGGACATTGGGGGATTTGGGGACATTGGGGGCATTTGGGGACATTGGGGGGTTGGGGAGGATTTGGGGACATTTGGGGGGGATTTGGGGACATTTGGGGACATCAGAGGGGTTGGGGACATTGAGGGAGGTCGGGGGGATTGGGAGATTTGGGATATTGGGGAAATTTGGGGACATTGGAGGATTTTGGGATATTGGGAGGATTTGGGGACATTTGGGGAGTTTGGGGGCATTTGGGATATTGGGGACATTTGGGGACACAAGGGGGAATTGGGGACATTGGGGGATTGGGGGCATTGGGGGACATTTGGGGGGGACTTGGGAGGATTTGGGGACATTGGGGGGATTTTGGGACCTTTGGGGTGACAGAGGTGACCCAGAAGGTGACAGAGGTGACCCAGGGGGTGACATTGGTGACGGGGGGGGGGTCCCACCGTTGTCCCCCAGGGGGTCCCCTCAGTGGGGTTGGGGACATTTGGGGTGACATTGGGGTGACACTGGGGACATTTAGGGGATATTGAGGACATTTGGGGTGACATTGGGGACATTGGGGTGACAGGGAGGTGACACAGGAGGTGACAGGGGGTGACAGAGGTGACGGGGGGGGGTCCCACCGTCGTCCCCCAGGGGGTCCCACAGTGGGGTTGGGGACATTTGGGGTCATTGGGATGACATTGGGGTGACAGAGGTGACAGGGGGTGACAGGGGGTGACAGAGGTGACGGGGGGGGTCCCACCGTCGTCCCCCAGGGGGTCCCCGCAGTGGGGTTGGGGTCATTGGGGTGACATTGGGGACATTTGGGGTGACATTGGGGACATTGGGGTGACATTGGGAGGTGACACAGATGACACAGAGGTGACGGGGGGTCCCACCATCGTCCCCCAGGGGGTCCCCGCAGTGGGGTTGGGGACATTTGGGGTGACATTGGGGTGACATTGGGGG